AGAAATTGAGGAGACATAGAAAGGAGAGTAGATTGTTATTGTTGAGCTTACTTCCATTTCAAGTTAAAGTGTTGAGTGAAGAGATTCAAAAGTCGCTTCCACCAGAAAACGACGGCGAATTCCTCTTGATCAGCTGTCGATTGGCTTTATTGGAAGATTCATGCTGACGCTGTTTCTGAGGCAATCTCCTTCGAGTCCGGTGAAAAGGTTTTGAGCTTTCGTCCTTTATATGACGGACATCATCAGAGCAGGGTATCATCGACGTGAAAGTTGACATATGACCGTAACTAACCAAATAACTTTAAACTTGATCAAAGAGGTCAGATGTTAAGTATGCATACCACTTTTTAGGGATTTTCCGTTGAGTTTTCCTTACTCGTTAGCTCGAATTTGATTGTGACGATGATACCCAACAATTTCCCTCGAAATGGAAGCAAGCTCAACAATTATGAAACGAGAGATTGCTCGAAACCCATCTTTTCTTCGCATATAGTAGATTGTTAAACAATCACGCTCCCACGAAACGATCCGTTGTACACAGTTTTTGGCTCACACTGGGCCACCTCGTGGGTGACCAACTTTAGTGTTGACATCAGGTTTTTGTTGAAACCAAGAAAATGGGTGCAAGGGATCATCTGCTCGTGTGAAAAATTGATGAGATTGGACAGAACATTAAAATTCGCAGCCGTTAGGTTTTCGATGAATCTCCCGTGGCCCATAATTATTGAGCTCACTTCTGTTTTATAGTAAAAGTGTTTGGTGAGCGATTCGAAGGTTGATTCTATGAAGGCGACTGTGATTAGAGCCAAGTTAAGCCCTCCTTTTGTAGATGGCTCACCCCCCTCTCTATCCTTGAGTCTATTAATTAAGCATATTTAGTTTTTGCTCAATTTTTTGCCAGTTTTCTTTACATTCAATGAATTGTCTAGTCGGTTGATTTTTATCCAATTTTACGCTGAGCCGCAGTCACAACGTATTCAGCATAACGACAACTTTGAGATGACATACTTTCATATCAGATTTGTGTCGCGTGCTCTGACTTTTGCTCCCAACAGCCTCTACATGGGCGTTTTCGAAAGGGACGGCAAGTCCCTCCAACTTGAAAGCGTCAACACAAACACATTATTTTATAGCAACTTGATCTCAATAATGGGTCAAATTTCTCTCTAAACATGGGCATAACTGACGGAAGTGTCATAGTTTCCCCACTTCCTCACTGGTTCGCCTATCTTTTTGCAGTGAATGCAAGTACAAAAGATGGTACAAGATCCCTTAAGTAACTACAATTGAAAAAGATATTCTTAATTAATCTAATGTTATCGTCAATCAGACCTAGGGAATGTTTATCCTCAAGTAATGTAATTCAAGCTGCCTATATGGGCTAATCTTATGCTCCGTATAATCATAGAGTCGAAAAGCCCAACATTTGTTTTTGAATAGTAATTGGAAAAGATAACGCTAGTGTGTTTTAGCGTCCTTTATACATCCTGCTCTGATGACTGAAACATCCGAAAAAGGTAAATTATTGTACTTTTCCATGCCTATTCTCAACCAATCTGCAACCAATCTGATTAATTAAGAAGAAGAAACTATCCTTACCGTGATGCCACATGACAAATTCTTCATCCCTATATCTTTCTATTCTTTTTGGTGTCAATCCTCCATCTCTGCAATGAAGTTATTTGCTAAAATGGGAACCTTGCATCTGTTCATAAAACTTATTGTTAAAGGCGAATTGTGTGCTACTCATGGATGTATTAAGTAGTCTTAAGGTTCTGCTTTTGCTCAGATTTGCTCCTTCAATAGCACCAGGGTGTTCAATTAGGCCGAATACTAATGTTTTAATACCATCCGGAACTGGGATGTTCGCATATATTGATACCACATCAAAACTCACCAAAATATCCTCCTCTCCTATACTCTGCTGATCCATCAATCTAACAAACTACTGTGAATTCTTTCAGGAATATCTCCAAAACTCAGCCATTTAACTCAATTTTTTGCATACAAATTGTGAAATCCTGTGCCTCACATTTCCGTTATTATTAATAAGCGCTCTTAAAGGAACTTCCTTTATGTGTAACCTTGGAAGGCCTTGAGCAGTAGTTGGCCAGGCGTCCCTTTGAAAAAGTGAATTTATTTCCCACTTTTCAATTTCTCCCTTGCTTATACAGACGTTAAACGATTCAGTAAGTGTGTGTGTTTCTCAGTCATTTAGACGAATCACCATTTTTTCTCTGTAACTTAGCCTATCCATTATGACTACTGCACCACCCTTAGCTGACTTCAAAATAAAATGGATCAGTTTAGTGCAAATATCCTGAAAACTTATTCTAGTGATAAGATTTCTTTGGAATAATCACTTTTTTTCTACACTATTCTTAGCCCCTTCGGCGTCTTGTCTGTCGAATTAATTAATTCAACCAGCAACTCCATAGGATGGTCTTGTTCATTTGGAAAGACAAAGTTTAGACTCCTCTCCAAAAGGAGCTTAACACTTTCAGCTACAGTTTAACTGGATAAAGTAATGACTTTATTTTTGCTAACACAGCATTAAGTTCACCTATTCCTTATTGTATCGACTATTGCTGAAGTGGATTTTAATGCCTAAATTCCTTGACTTTTTATCATGTCGGTATCTGTGAATCTTATCCATCCTTTCCGCTAGATCGTCCCTCTTATTCTGTAATTTGAGAAAGCCTTCTTGAGAAAATAGCAGAAAAAGGGATTGTATAGTCCCAGTTTTGGTACGAATCAGGTCATGTGATTTTTCTATACTTTCTTTTAGTCTAGACTTAGCCAAACCATTTTGATACCTGTTCCGGTTCCCTATTAGTGCAAATAGGTAAATCTGAACGCCTATCAAGAAAATAGCGTCTAGGTACACACATATTTGGAACAATATGTTATTACTGACTTACTGAAACATAGGTTTCTTGGTTTTTGTATGGCCAGAAGAAAGTTGATACGAATTTTTACCATACGTACGTAGTACATGCGAATAGAAGTCGGGTTTCGAGAAATCTCTTGTTTCCTAATCGTTGGGCTTACTTCCATCTGCTGAAAAAGTGTTTGGTGAAGGGATTCGAAGGTAAATCCCACCAGAAGACAACGGTTTATTTCCCTTGACCAGCTGTTACCGAAGCATTCTTGTTGACGGTGTTGCCGAGGCGACTCAACAAGTAGTCCTTTTCTTGGTTTTAATCAAGGCCACTTTTCTGTACTGGCTAGTTCACTCTTTCTCTCTAGCATGAATACACAAAGTGTGTCCCACTTTGTGCCATCTGAGTAAGTGTTTATATGCACACACACACATATATATAAATAAATAAATAAATAAATTTATATATATATATAAATGAATAAATATATATATATG